AGACAGATTGTTCTCCCCTTCCACAACAGCCCAACAAATGGGGAACATCTGTTCATTGGGATCCCTGGAAACAGCAGTTAATATCTGACCCCCAAGAAATGTCTTCAAAAATGCAGCATCCACACTTATCACTCTCCTACACCCTGCTGTCCACCCTTGCTTAACTCCATCAAAGCAAGTGAACATCCTACTAAACATTGGGGTAGAACTCTGAGGTTGTGGAGCAACTACCAAGTCCAACACTGTTTCAAGACTTGCTTCCTTCAATGCCTTCAAGTACCTCTCCACCTTCATATAATGCTCTTTCATAGAGCCATGTAACATCTTGTGTGCATGGTATTTTACTTTGTAAGCAAAATCTCTACTGACAATCATTCTGTAAGACCTCCTTACAGTGTCTACAATCTCCTTAGCTGGCCAATGTGGCCTAGCTTTGAACACATCAAGCAACTGCCTAGCCACCCAACTGGACTTCAACTGCCTGTTACTATTCATGTTCCTATGGCATGTGTGATTTCCAACTACTCTCTTCACTAGCCAAGTTGCATCTCTAGAATGCACAGAAAAATATAAATAAAATGGACATTCACCAACACATTTCACTCCCAACCTTTGTCTGTTTTTCCAGCTCACACTATACTTTAGATCTCTACCCTGTAATACAGCATACTTAGTGACAGCATCCTTAATGTCACTGGCATTAGCAAACCTCTGACCAACCTTCCAATGAAACTTACTGAAATCAGTTTCATGGCTCACTAACTCTCCCTTTTTCCCTTCTAATTCATCACTACTACCAGGTGGTGTATCAATGTCATTATCTTCATCACAGTCACTTAGGTTTACATCCCTTGCAACCTCTTCATGAACTGAGTTCTCCCTCTCTTCATCAACTTCAAACTCCCTCTCCTCATCAACTGCCTTTTCCTTCTCCTTCTCCTTACAAACTTTTTCTTGCAATCCCTTCACTATCTCAAGTAACTTTGTATTAACCCTCTTTACTCTATCCCTTGCTTCAATAATCTCATCATCAATGTCATCAGATTCATCTTCAAAGAAATCAGTTTGTTCTAGATCTTCACCTTCACCTTCTAGATCTATGTCAGATAGACTAAAATCACCTTCCTTCTCTTTCTCTATGCTCTCATCTACCTCAAACTGAAAATCATCTTCATCATCATCTTCAAACTCCCCACCCTCACAAAACTTCTGATACTCATGATCATATAATGGATCACTGTCATCACTAGACTCATCATCAGCAACTAATTCATTCCATTTCAAAGGGCTCTCTGGTCTGTCATCCTCCCACTCAAATTCATCATTGAAATCTGTGTTAACATCAGGCAACTCACCAGTAGAAACAAACTCTAAGGATGGGAATTGAGAAAGATGAAGAGACTGGTTTTGAGTGAAGGGTTGAGTTTCTGAAGTGATTTTCAAGGGGGGTTGAGTCTGTTTTTTTGTTTTTTTTTGGGGAAGGTCAGATGCTTTTTCTGGTAAAGTTATAGATGCTTTTTTGGGTGATGTGGTAGATGCTTTTATAGGTGAAGTGGAAGCATCTTCTTCAGTCAATGAGGGTTTCACCACCTGTGTTTGTGGTCCCTTCCTTGTGGTCAATTTTTTTCTTTTGTTCAGTTTGGGTGGGGGTTTCTCAAGTACCTTGCCTGTTGTTTTGGATATGGTAACTTTGGGGTCAGCATTCAACAAAGTACTTTTCTGACTTGTGTTGCCCACATCAACTTCCACAACTTCAGGATTTGAACCTTCTCCCACTTCTCTCTCAAACTGAACTGCATACACAACAATACTCCTATTTACAACAGCTAACTTACCCATCTCTAACACCTCAGCATCCCCTTGAATTACTCTCAAACCTTTCTCAATATTTAACCCAGGCATTTGGTAAAACAAAGCATCCACATGAGCAAGCCCACACTTACTACCATAATCCCTTAAGTCCCAGTAACAAAGTTCATCTGGGTCAACATCAAAGTTAATATAACTCCCACCCTTATACACCATTTCACCATTACGAACATGCTTAAATTGACCCCCATACCAGAATCGAACAGTCACATTATCAAAAACATGAGTATTTGCAGCAGACCCTAGAATTAAACAACTCAATTAGACTACAAACAAACACTCAAGTAATTAACCCTAATTCAGCAATTAACAAGAAAATTTATCGAGTGAACAACATAATTCACCATACAAATCAACCTAATTATTAAACCTACTTTAACAATTACCAGCATAATTAAACATACGAACATCCATATTCAAATTAGAACACATAAAATCCACCCAACAATCATAATTCAAACAAAACAAAGAAATTAAAAAAACACGAACCTTTCTTCTTCGTCTTTCTGGGCATTTTGGGAACCAAAGATCGCAACTTTTTCACTCTTCTCTTCACTTCACTTCAATGCAATTTTCTTTGGGAGCAGTAGAATTTCGGAATTGAGTTCTGATTATTTCAAAGGGAAATGACGAAATGAGGAATTGAATATGCTCTGAGATCCTCTGATAAAATGGTTCGAAGACGAAGAAAGAGAGTGAAATATGGAGGGAAATGAATTAAAGAGGGAGACAGGAGTTAGGTGTGCAAAATTTAATTACACGTTGGATGGTTAAGGGGAAGCAACGCACAACCTGGCAAAGACATAACACACGTCAGCAATATTACCTCCTAAATCCGGTTACCATTTTTTTTGTACCATTTTTGGAAGACACCCCCCAAAGTTGGTGTTATTTTGGAATAACTCAAAGGTGGTGTTATTATTGGCGAACCGGCCAAAGTTCGTGTTATTTTGGGCAAATTTCCCAATTTCTTATTGCAACTTTTTTTTTTAAGCAAAAAAATAGAATATTGGAGTAATAATTTATTTTTCGGAATTTTGTGTGATATGTCAAACCAAAACCCTTGCTAACCCCATAATGTTCTTCAATGGAGAGCAAAATAGGATTTAATCAATTACTATATTTGCTTCCAAAAATCTCCAAACACAGTCCCCTCAAAACCCTAATTTCTCTTCTCAACAAAGAAATTCGATTATCTAGTTCAAACGCTGAAAATTGACAAAATGGTTCATCAAACATTTCCTTCAAATTCTTCGTCTTCTCCCTGAAATTTGGATTTGGGATTCAATAATTAACGACGGTGGATATCGACGACGAAAGGGCGGAGTATGAGGGCAAAAAATGGAGCGTAGGATGCATTGAGAAGCTGATAAAACTCAAAGGCCTCATTTACAACCTTCCAAGGGTATTTTTCTTTTGCTCAATTTTTGGCTTTCTGTGGAACTATTATTATTTTTACCGGAAAATAAGTTGAACTAAACATTACTTTAGTCCAAAACCCCATAATTAATGGTATGACATGAATTGAGTAGATGACTCGATTGGTTATGGTTTTATAGAAATGTGACATCCTAGTATACGTGAGTACGTGACCATTGTTTTTGGGAGTTGCCTACGGAGTACTTGCGTTTGTGTGCCATTTGTTGTAGCATTTGTCCTTGCCTTTTTACAATGTTGATTATAGTAATTATATGATGGTTGGTGTGAAAATTCTATGGTAGTCATTAAAAATAAGGAGGAGAAATAATCAATATAGTGTTGAAATTGGTCATAATTTCTTACTCTTTAGCAACGATAAGTGTGCTAGGAAAATTTTGCAATAGTTACATAATTTTTGTAGCTATAAAATGTTTAAGGTCAATATAAAATGGATGAGATTATTTTTTAAAAATCGTGTTATTTTCTTGACCAACTTTTGTAAGGGGGTTTTTTTTTTATGAAATGTGTAAAGTAAAATAAGATAGAGGGTACATTAATTATTTATTATCGTCCAATCCTAAATAACTGCACATTTTTTTTTTTTTTAACATTTTACTCTATTTCTATATTAACTTACACGTTTATTTGTTAGCTATTATTTGAAAATAAATTTTATACTATTAATTATTGTTGTAATACACCTCTAAGCATATATTTTCAAAATACAATGTTTTTTTTTTTATAAATTTAATAAGATAATCTATATAACTAATACTAAAATAGAAACCCTTGACATTATTCCCTTCTTAAATTGTACACATGTCATGCTCTCATAAAAAATATTCCCGCCTAAATGTATTGATTACACCATTTTAATAATTTTTTTTTTCTTTTTGTGCTAAATCCTTCCATCTATTCATTCCCCCCAACTAAAACCCTTATTGCTTTTCTTCTTCCTCAATTATGTAGTTTTGTTGCCTCTTTCTTATTTCAATATTTAACTTTTTTTTTTTTTTTTGAATGTGTGCAGTTATTGATTATTTTGTCTTATAATTTTGATTAATATTCAATGTGATACAAAGTATTTCAATTAATTGTGTGTTTTTTGTTAAATCGTACATTGTACGGGAGCTAAACTAGTTATAGTCTAATTGACAAATATGTCTAATCAAAATGATGAAATTTTTAAGAAATTGCTGTTTTTTTTTTTGTTTTTTTTTTTTTGTTTGGCAAAGAGGAGAATTTTTTTTTTTTTTTTTGTGCTCTTTTTATTTATAAAAAATAAAACATGGACTAGAAACAATCAATTCAATCATGAAATTGCCCATAACTTCCCATTCTTCAACAATGTCAAGTCTGCAAATCAGCTTTCGTTAATATCTGTCTCTCATTAACATGGAGTACCTTTTATTTTCTTGCTTCCCAACCCTTTTTTTAATTAATTTTTTTCCCTTTTCAAAGTGCCTTTTTTGGGGGTAACCCAAAACAAAACTCAAAAAAATAAATAAAAAATAATTACTCGAAAAAAACCTAGAACCTTGTGAAGTTGTGATCAGTACTTCAGTAATGAGCACCTTATTTAGTTATTTTATATGACCCCCAATTACTGGTGGGGCATTTTCTCCTATCTACACCAATCAAATTGCTCAAAATAACAATTCTTTATTCCTCGTTTTTTTTTTTTTTTTTTTTTTTCTTTCCTGTTGGATAATAACCCCCTCCACATTAGCATGGTCAGCATGACTCAGCAAAACAAGTATTTTTTTTTTTTAATTTTTATTTTTTGCTCCCCTTCCTGAATAAATTCCAGAACTTTCCAAGGCTCCCCATCCCAATATATCAACCAAAAAAATAAAAAATTTAACAAATTAAAAAAGTACACCTACCCAAATCCACAAATAAAATATTAAGCCTTTGCTATTTTAGATGGTTCCTTCCTCCATCCCTTCTAAACTCTAGAACTTTCTACTCAAAATTATATTTTAATTAATATCATAGGTTATATAAGTTTCTATTTAAGGGTCCAATTGTCACACTTTTGATATCCCCTCAACCTTATTAATCACATAATCTCCCCCAACAAATCAACAGTAACTGCCAAAACCTACCTTCTTCTTTCCAAGCAGAGCTAAAACAGAGCATGTCTTACTGTCTTCCAAAAATTATACAACTTGTTTCTTCAAATTTCTTCTTCTTTCTCTCAATTTCTCTTCTTCTATATATACCAATCAAAGCTTCCTTCTGTTTTTCTCTAATTTCTAATTTTTCTCTTTTCTTCCCTTGTCTTTTAAGTTATTGATTTTGATATTTTCTGTACAAATTTGATCAAATTCAATCTTGGTTTTTGCTAAATTCTCTTTCAATTTAAAGAATTGAATTTCATCCGGGTTTGCTTCAATTTCAATTGTTTCACTTCAATTTGAGTCACATTGTGACTCAATCTTTGAAAAAAATTTGCTTTTTTCTTTGACTAATCACCAAAAGTAAAGCTTACCCAGAAAAATTCAACCTTTGAATTATAAATTTCGACTATGAATCCGTTATATCCAGTTAAAAAAGAGTTCCCAGAATCGAGCTCAACGACGTTGACATTTTCCGGCGAGATTTCAAGGAATTTTCCGGCACCTCAGCCTAGAGAAGGATTACATGAAGTGGGCCCACCTCCATTTTTAACGAAAACTTATGAAATAGTTGATGATCCAAGTACTGATAATATAGTGTCCTGGAACAGAGGAGGTCAAAGCTTTGTGGTTTGGGATCCTCATGCTTTTGCTTCTGGTTTACTTCCTAGAAATTTCAAGCATAATAATTTCTCTAGCTTTGTCAGGCAGCTTAATACTTATGTAAGTACTCTTATCCCATTCCTTTTTACTTGTACCATTTAGTTTGCGACTTAACGCGTTACAAGGATTGCATATTTCATAACCGTTCTTTTCCAAATACGATATTATATGCTAATTAAATGTCTAGTTTTATGGAGTCAATGACACAATTAGCAAGGGGCAGAAGTTGATTAATATTATAATTAGTAAAGACAAAAGTTGATTAAAATTCACCTCTCGACAAAAGCCACCTGTCTCATTGTCTTTCTCTTTCTTGATTTGTTGTGATATTTTGATGTGCTGGAATTAGAATTGGATTTGTTAGCAATTAAAAAAATTTAATAAAAATGTTAATGGGATTTTTAGTGAAATGAGTCGGCAACTTGTCAATTAACTTTAGTAATGTGGTTGAATATTTTAATGCAACTTTCCTTTCTTGATCATGTGAAATCTACCCGATGATTCTTTTTGAGTTTGTCCTATTATCTTATTTAATCTCATGACTAAATTTGAAATAGCAAAAATTCTAGATGCGGGTCCTTAGATTTTAATAAAATATTTTGCAACTTTGCTTGATGTAATTTAATAATTTTGACTTTTTACTGCTGCCGACTTCTCTTGATGGAAAATGATGTTTGTAATATGGACATTTTGGTTAATACTCCATCCGTCTCAAATTACTTAAAAATGTCTCTATAAACCGGTTATTTATTTCTAGTAATTTGATTAACTTGATATTTACAAAATTGTTGTTCGAAATTTTGCAGGGTTTTAGGAAGATTGATCCTGATAGATGGGAATTTGCAAATGAAGGGTTTTTAAAGGGGCAAAAGCATCAACTGAAGAACATAAGGAGAAGGAAACACTCATCTAATCCTATGTTTTCTCAACAGGGAGTGATAGACCCTTGTGTAGAGCTAGGAAGATTTGGGGTTGATGGTGAAGTGGATCGATTGCGACGCGATAAACAAGTGTTAATGATGGAATTAGTGAAGCTAAGACAACAACAACAGAACACAAGATCATTCTTACAAGCAATGGAACAAAGATTACAAGCTACTGAGATAAAGCAACAACAAATGATGAGCTTTTTAGCAAGGGCAATGCAAAACCCTGCATTTCTCCAACAGTTAGTCCAACAAAAGGAGAAAAGGAAAGAACTTGAGGAAGCATTAAGCAAGAAAAGGAGGAGGCCTATTGATCAAGGGCAAAAGGGTCATTTACACAGTGGGGAGTCAAGTAGGTATGCAAGTGTAACAAGTGGTAGTAGTGTACCTTTAGGAATGGGACATGTTAAGGCTGAGCCATTAGACTTTGGTGGTTCTTATGGGTATGATCAATATGATCCTCTTGGTCCGGTTTCTGAGCTTGAGGCGTTAGCCCTTGAGATGCAAGGGTATAGTAGGGGAGGGACCGAGCTGGGGGAGGAAGAGCGTGGTGGTTTGGACCAATTTGAAGGTGATGATAAAGAACTCGATGAGGAATTTTGGGAGGAGTTACTAAATGAAAGGGTTAAGGCTGCCGCCTCTAGTGATCAAGGAGGCGAAGAGCAGGAGGATGTGAATGTGCTAGCTGATAGATTGGGGTACTTAGGTTCAAGCCCCAAGTAGATGGTTCATTTCTATGGTAGGATCTTAATTAGTTGGTGCTTGCTTAATTAATCATATTTTCCATGTTTTTGTGTAGCTTGATGTGTTTGTTTCATTTACAGGAGAGGGGGAAGAACCAATCTGCAGCCAACAATAACTATTTAGAGGAAGATTTAAACTGCTTTTCAAGTCTTTTTCTAATGATTCCTCTCTTTGTTTTTCGGTTCAAGTCTTTCGACTTGTCGAATGTTCCTTCTCATTTGTGTTTACATATTGTAGGAATGCAGGAATATTTCAGAATGTAGAAGCTAAGTTGAAGTTATTTGCACCAAAATTGTGCAAAGGTTGCTACTTTAAATTAATTTCTTTCAGTAATATTTTTCTGTCTAAACAGTTGGTTACATAAGATTTTCCAATAATTCGGTTTTGCTTTATTAACATGTAGATTGATTGGATGAAGTTCAAATCGAAAAGAGCTTGCTGTGCCAACAAATCAACAAGATTGAGAACATGGTAGTTTAATTTCTGGTTGAAAATTTTTAAAGTTTTGTGGCTTTTGGTCAGGGTTCAGCTGGGGAATCCTGGTTTATTCACTGCCTTGTAAATTGCAAGTATCACACACCAGTCATTTCTTTTTCCACAATGTCCCTATCACCCCCATTAGTGATTAGACCCCTAACACTTTCTCTCCTTCCACCCCTTCCCCCTACACCACATCCCCACTGCTGCTGCTGTTTTCGACGTGTTTTTTTTTATTCGAAAAGAGTTTGATGGAAGTTTTTTCACAAGCCCATGAGGGGATGAACAAAATCCACGTGTTATCCTTTGGGCATGGACTTGTTCGTCTAGCACCCTAGCTTATGGGGCATATTGTTATATGAATAAGACCTATGTAGTGGCCATGGGTCTTATATGTTTCCCCATGGGTTTGTTGGAGAAAAAACTCTTGTCGATCCCCTTGTATTTACTTTTTTGAAAAAGTTGTCGAGAGATGGTTGCAGTGAGGATGCCAAGTGCTCACTAAGTCAAGGACTTGGCTACAATTGTGGAGGGGGAGTGTGACCTTTGTCCGCGGGTGGGGGCCTTGGGTGTGAGTCTGCGAGATGGTGATTTGCAAGGGAGAGTTGTGGTGGTGATGAGGGACTGGTGAGAGGGGAATTGTGGTGGGGAAAATTTTGGAGAGGGGGGATGTAAGATGATATTAGCTGTTGAGTTTTACCTAGTGCACAAAACTCTACATTACCACATTGAGAGAAAAGGATACCTCTAGTAGCCAAGATTAGAAGATGTATCAAATGTCAATGTTATAGGGGTGAAACTAGAAATTAAATGAGTGTATCGTATATAACTTGTTCAGTATTCCCAAATTACATTAAAGCCAATTATCTGTAAAGTTGACTATTATATGATTTGGGGTGACTAAACATGTTGTATACGATACATTTTACGTTACAAATGTACTGAAAATTTGAGAGGATTAGGGATAGCAAAGCAAGCAAATTTACCCCAACTTTTTATAGAATTTGTGGGGGCTATGATTCCTTGTTGCTCTCCTTAGTAAAGATTTTTATTTAAAATCCAATAATAATCAATATATAGTGGATTACATTAGCTGCTAACACTGCAAGTACTACATAATAACAGGTGTGTTATTAATTATTATCTAGGAAGACCAAATCTTCCTAAATTTTAGAATTCGATTTAGTCAATGGTAACTAGTATAGACTATATCTTACTGTTCAATGAATTTAAAATTTCTAAACTAATCTTTGTATTAAGTACACTGCTAAATTCGTTTGACTTTGACTTACTAGAGATGGAAAGGTGACAGATTAGTAGCTATTTGTAATCATAAACAACTCCTTTCAAGGCCTTTGTCAAATTCTTTGCAAGATGGTTGATTTGATTTGGTTGTAAACATTAGTCTCCCGCGTTTTTATATTTATAACTCCATTATTATAAAATAAATCGAGTTGTTAACTAGATATTTAACGCAGGTTAATTATATAGTCTCTTTTTATCGTAATTACACTTGTCATTGTCAAAGTGAGTAATTCACTATAATATTGATTTAAATTCATTAGAAATTATTTCTAGCAAATTCATATTGTTGTGCCATATTTGGTTGAAGAACAAATATTAGAGGTTTGACGAATGAATTCAATGTTCATTCATTTACTATGGAGAATCAAACCATTCAAATGAATTGATATAGACATGTAGGGAGGATAAGATGTAAAGACTTAGTAATATTTAGATGTTGGCAAACATGAATCAACTTAAAAAAATGCACGGGATGAACTTACAATGTCTATCACTGAAAAATGATTTATAAAACGATGTCCATATGTAGCCTATTACTCTATTAGGCTTAGGCAGTGAGGCACGGAGTGAATCCTAAAGTCAATAAAAAAGAAATATTATTCTGTAGTTCGTACTACATAATCTAGCAAAATCAAGGAAGAATACCTAAAACTTTTGTGGAATTTGCTGATATCTATAGCCAAATTCCAATTCGCAGAAGTATATCACAACCATTTGGAAAAAGGATAAAAAAAATAAAATTTTAGCAGGTGAAAAAACTGGTCCAAACAAGCTAGTAAAACCAACAAAAATGGATCCATACCCAAAAAAAAAAAAAAAAAAAAAAAAGTACACCAACAAAAATGGATTGGGCCTTGTAATTGACCAAATCCACAAAAGACAATCTCTTATGGGCCACCCACTAGGCCCGTGATCTGTAACTTGAATTGGGCCCGGCCTAGCAACTTAGAAAATGTTGGACACGTTCACATTTACAGAGTTACTACTTGGCCTTGATTAATATTTGGGTTTGGATATGATTATTTTTGTTCTAGATTCGGATTAAATTGTCATCCCGTTACCAACTCTTTTCAATAATTAGAGGAGACATTGTGGCCTATGTTTTTGACTCCCTTTCGATATATTACGATCATGTGTCAAGGTATATTCCATAATTTCGATTGATGCCTTTGTCTAATGCATGTGCTAGTTAGAGCTAATTTGTGGCGGTCTCGGACTTTCAAATTGACATTGAGTTTGCTACTTATAAGATTTAGAATTTCATCATGCTCAAGAGATGATTTTTGAGTTCAATTCAGGCACGTACGCTTCATCTTTTCGACAGGTTGGTGTAAAGTTGTTAACTATCAAGTGACCCTCGCAACGAACTAGGGAGGGAGAGCTAGCTAATAATAAGCATATCGATCTCTGATCCACTTGAGACCCTGTTCTTTTGAGTTGTTCTGCTCTGCTCTACTGAAATCTGCTTTGCTCTGCTCTGCTCTGCTCTGCTCTGTCAGAAGCTCAAAAGAATAGGACCTTACTTGACCGCAGATGATTAATAGTATGATCATATTAGTTCATCATATAACAAACATTATACATACTTCGTACTATAGTTAGTGTGTTCTTTTCTTTTTGATAATCTAAAAAGGAGTTGTTTTGAGACTCTTATTAATTACTATAAGCCTATAATATAAGGTCAATAGTAGTTAGGTTATCAGTTACTCTCGCTGCATTTTAGCCTAGGTGTGTAGTAAATTGTAACATTGAAGAAGCATATTATGCATTGCGTAGTTAAATGTTGTACTGTGTTTGACCATTTACTTGCTTAGTTTCTTAGTGCATATACTCTCCCTTTTTTAGTTGTAACTACTGTGTGGCTCGGACAATATTACACATACTTTTATCATCAATTATCTTATGTTTAGCTAATGATATCATGCATGTAAACCTATTTGATTAGAGGTACGTATAATGTTATTGTTAATCTCTGGATATATCAAATAATTAGCTACAATTCTTACAAAGGCCAACATGTAGACTCGTAAATATACATTTAATGACAACCAACTTAAAGAAATTTCATTCTTTATTTTTTTATTTTTTTATTTATTTTTTTATTTTATTTTTTATTTTAAGAAATTTCATTCTTAATTGTATATTTGTATTAACATTAGTTGCAACTTTGCATGCATGGTTCACATACTTCACAAATGTTATCAATGCACTATTCATTTCTTGATTATGATTTAATTTCATACAATATACCTTTTTTTTTTTTTTTTTGGCACACTAAAACTTGAATTTGGCACACTGATATACGTGTTTTATACAATGGTTTTCCCCGGTTTTACTTAGTAATTTTATATGGTTTTGAGCTCTACGGAGCCATTTCTTGCTAACAATCTCTTCTTTAGTGTATTCGATTGTTTTAGTAAGCTTTTCAGGAATATGAAGCGTTTCTAGGCAATTGGACGTGTTTTTAGTAGATTCGGAAGAGTTGATAGCCAAGAACTGCAATTTATGTGGAGTGCCCGACCGGGCATGGCTTGCCCGGGCAGACCGGGCAATGAAGAGTTCACAGGAAGAAGCCCAATTCTGAACGGTGCAACGCGCGCCCGATCGGGCAGGCTTCGCCCGGTCAGACCGGGCGATGAAGAAGTCAAGTTATGAAGATGCAATTCTGGAAACGTGTTACGCGCGCCCGACCGGGCGAGGTTCGCCCGGTCTGACCGGGCAAAGAAGGAAAACTGTCGTATTTTACGCAGCCTTCCTCCGCCCGATCGGGCGAGATCTGCCCGGTCTGACCGGGCGATGTTCAAGATTGCGCGATTTCAGCTATTTCCGAATTTCTATCTTTTGGGGGTATAAATACCCTTTTGTAATTAACTCTTAGAGGGAGTTTTTCATTAGTTTTTCTCCTTAAGCCCTAGAAAACTCTCAAGAACCCTAGTTTTATTTCCTTTAAGCAATTTCAATCTTTTAATCCCAGATTAATCAATTGTTCATCAACAATTTGAGTTCTTTCAATTGGAGTAATTGGTATTTATCTTACTTCACTCTTTTCTGATATTCACTGTTCTCTAAATATGTTTTCTTTACTGTTTCTTGTTTTTGAACTTGATTTTGATTTTATTATGATGTGTGAGTAGTTTCCTTAATCCGGGATCTTGCTAAGCCCGATTATGATTGATGTATAAAGTAGATCTTTAAATTCCCCAATAATAATCCCAATTGACATGCTTAATTGATTGTGTTTATGCCAATACTAGATTAGGAATAATTAGTATTGTTATCATCCCTTTGTTCTTATTGCAACGGAAGTTGGGTATTAACGGGATTAGGTTATTCCAATTAAGGGTTTGAAGATCATCACGGAAGTAGATGATTGAATAATTAGGAATCTAGGCATGGTGTTTAATGTCCCTTATTCGCTTGATTCCACGGAAGTAGGCTTGATAGTTAATTTGGGAAGCCATTGATAACTTGGAAGAGACCTTTGGTATTATTATTAGGGATTGCTTTTCTTCTTGTCAATTGATTTATATATTGGGGGTAGATTTATTAGTTTATCAATCATAATCGTGGTAATGCTTGATCTTGGATGCTTTAGTTTATTGATTAATATTTCCTCTAGTTAATTGTGTTATTTAATATATTAGTTGATTATTATCATCCATTATTGATTGGTGACGTGCTTAGTGATTAATTGAGTCTGATTAATTGAATGAACCATAGTCTCTTGGGATTCGATCCTTACTTGCCCTACTACACAGTTAGAAGGAATAGTTAGGTTATTTTTGTTAGGTACGCGATAAGCCTATCACACACAATATACTTCATACAACTAACATTTATAACTAGAAATAATTACTAAGATGATTACATTCAACAATAGGAGTAGAGGTGGGCATGGGTCGTGCCGGCCCAACACGAGATTGGGTCGGTCCGGTATGAGCCCGCCAGCGGCACGACACGGTGACCGAGGAGTGGGCTGTGGGCCGTGCCGTGAACACGATTTCAAGAATCCGGCACGAGCAAGGCACGAACCCGCGGGCGACATGGTAGTTTGGCCCGCCAGCACGGCATGTCAGACACGGCCATAAAATAACATAAATAATAATAAAGAATAATAATAATAATAATAATAATAATAATAATAATAATAATAATAATAAAAAGAACAATAATAATATAATAATATAAAAAACATAAACATAAATGAATAAAATTATTTAAATAGTATATCCATTTTAAAAGTTGTTCAAAAAAAATTAAAAAAATTATGGGCGGCCCGGTGTTCGGCAGGCACGGCACACTAGACACGTGGGTCCTGTCGTGTCGTGGGCTGGGGTGTGCTAAATGGTGGCCCGGCACGGCACGAGCCGATCACCAAGCACGACGAGACACGACCTACAACGGCCCAATACGACACGCTGCCCACCTCTAAATAGGAGTACATACTCATTACACAACTATGGAGTACACAATATTTATCTTTTTTTTTTTTCACATGTGAAAGACAAAAATTAAAGGGGTAAAAATAAACTAACCAATAGGAGTGAAAATAAAACAAACCAATAAAAAAATTGTGGCTTTTTTCTTCTCTTTTAGAGAGAGAAAGAGAGGGACAGAAGATGACTGCATGAGAGAATCTAGAAATAGAGAAACCCGTGAACCTCAACAAGCTAAGCTAAGTTGTGGTGGCCCCTCAATGTGTGTGTGTGAAACTTGCTGGCGATGTAATCCTTCCTTTGCTTCCTATAGCTTCTGCATTTTTCACGATTACATTGATGCATCTATGTAAGCTAAGGAATATTAATGATGCAACCCCAAGAATTTTTTATATAGGCAATTCATCATCCCCCCTCACTTTGTCAAATTCAACAACATCGAGCTAGCTAGCTCACCTCATGTACATGTCATAAATCTAACGGAATATGGATTTAATTTTGATAGAGTATAAAAATCAATCATGCATGGATGAAACTTAGCTTCATCCATGAGGTTAAGTGGATTATCTTACATTATATCAACTATTATGAACTGGTGTGAGTGCGTGACAAGTAGGTCACAAGTTCAAATCTCATCTAACCCTTCTTTATTCTCTCTAAAATATAACTATTGTAAGTCGCAAATGTTGTTTTTAAGTAGTTTTAACCAAACCTTAATATATTATAGACGTTATTCATTAAGTTGGTAATTGTGTTTTGTATTTCGAGAAGAGGAAATATCATGAAGATACCTTTTGTGTGTGTGTTAGTTATTCAAGTCTATTTTGCCTCCAATCAATTACCCTCATCGTCCTTTACAAGATATTGTCTTGCTACTATTTCTCTATCACTTCAATTCCATCCTCATTTATTATTCTGTATTATCTACGTAGCGTTAACAAATTGGTGATCGATACAACCGTGGCACCAATTCTTTTTACGGGAAAAAATATTTATTTGATTTATTTCAATTTCTGAAGGGTGATAGGTAGGATAGTGATCGAGGAAGGTGGGTGATGAAAAAGAGAGGAGTGGTGTTAGAGACTTGGAGTATTAGGCAATCGAAAGAAGTTGAACAATTGCAACAAGTCATACGTCAAAATATATTCATACTTCGCCTTTTATACATATTTTTACTCTGTACAATATTGACCTCAACTCAACAAAAGTAAAAGAAGCATTGTTTTGCCGGAATTGTTTAAATGTAGTACTCTCTCCGTCCCATAATATAGTTTCTGTTTTTCTATTTTGGAGATCCAAAATGTTGTTTTTATTTCTATTTTTAGATGGTATGTAAAGATTATCATACCCTCACTTTTTTTTTACTTTATTCATTGTACTTCCTACATTACTCTTGAATTTTGCACATAACTTGTACTTTTTTCCACTTTATCTCTCTAACTTTTGTCTATAATTGTACTTTTCACTTTTATTAATGTACTTCATCCACTTTTTCCCTCCTATTTCTTAAATGCCATGAAAAAACACAAACAAAAACCATATTATGGGACGGAGGGGGTACAACATTTCTCCTTTCATCTTTTTTCATAGCTTGGCCAAATTGTAAGGAAGATTACAACCTTAATTAATTAATTATGCATTTCATACCTAGTAACACAAATTTTATCATAGGTCAAAAATTTTCAATATAAATTGCAGATCAACATGATTAGAATTAATTTCAAGTCTATCATTTCATGACAGCACATTGTAGCTAGCTAAACTAGTCGACATTGCATAAACATTTTATATATATATATATATATCCACATCAGCACTCGGCCAATTGGTTATTTATTGTCTATATATATTGCCTCAAAACCCTCAACAATATCGAAATTAATCATGATAATTTGTACATATTCAAATATTTCCCTTAAATTGAAGGCTACACTCTCCCCAGCCCCACAATAACATGTTCTCCCACCAATTATTTGCATGTCATGTCGATAAGAAGGAAACTTCAAAAGGAAATGAAAATGCTAAAATTACTACTTTTCAAAATTTCCTAGAAGTTTCACACTTCTCACTGTTGGAATTTTGGTAGGCATTATATATTGTTAGTTCACCATAGGAAAGTAAGGTAACACGTTATATTATTTCCTACTCGTATTTTCCTTAGTTATAGTCTTCAAATTTGTATTATTTCATGCCCTACTACTTGTCAACAAATCAACAATAAGACAATATAGGAAAGATAGTAAAAATAATACTGTTATTTTAGACAAGAAACATCCTCCTAACAGATCAATTAATTAGTTCTTATTTTGTTTGTTACTTCCGTTTTCTTTTGACTCTATCATTCTATGACATGTTTCTAACAGATCAATTAATTAGTTACACATTCTCTAAAATCAATGTGTTGTACCGTAATCGTAGTTAGTAAACAAAATTTAGGACACGTCGTACCATGCCATATGTTATTAATCTTCGTTTTATATTGTTCTTTTTAGTTAATGATGCATATATTAAGGGTATATTATATGAAATTTATAATAATTTTGAAAGTGACCTATTATTTTTCTTAAAAAAAAAAAAAACTCAAAAAGAATATGTGATCTTATATGAAGATGTTGGAGTATTCTTTTTTAAAAGCATAGAACTTGGATTATAGTTTGATAATTTGTCTCATCAAAAATACAAACATCAAACATGCTCATTTGAACTTCTTGTACTCCGTATCAAGTAAGTACTAAGTGAGTAAGTGGTAGTCGGCATGCAATTATTAATTCTGTAACATTCTTATTAAATGAGAATATATGGTAGGTACTTTCTTTCTTTTCCATAATTAATAATTAATATATATTTATAAAAGTTTATCTTCGGTTCCTTTGGGTATGAAGTGACAAAGTTGAAGTGTTCTTCTATACTCATTTGTAACTTCGTAGATTGAATTATAAGTCGCTAGCTTTTGCCCTACTATCATTTCATTAGTTTGATTTTTATTTATTACCATTACAGTCAGATTAATTGCACATAAGGTATGTGCTAAGTTTGGAAGCAATGTGAGATTAGAAGATTAATGAAAAGACTCAAAAGAGCAAAGTTTGTTTCACTAAAAGTAATACTTTAAAGGATTTTTTGTCAGCAATTATCTAATAAAACTTAGATTTTGTGAGAAACTACTTAATAAATTAAAAAAATGTTGTAATAAACTACCTAATAAAAGGTAATTATGTTGTAAGAAACTACATAATAAAAGGTATAATGTTGTAAAATACTACCTATGTCAGATTTCCACCGTTGACCAACCTTAAAACACCCACGAAATCACTGCTTTCATCCCCAAAACCTACACAACCTACTTGAAATAACCTCCACCACGCCGAAACCACAATCTAACCCCAAAAACCATTATTTCGAAGCATGAAAATACCCTCATCAACTCGGAATATCCTCCAACCACCTCGAAAATTACCTTACCACCTTGAAAACCAACCCCCGCGATGGTTTTGAGGGTCTTTTGAGGTAGTCGATGCCGTAAAATTAGGTTAACGGCGGAAATTCGGCCAAAGGTAGTATCTTACAACATTTTACCTTTTTATTATAGGTAGTTTCTTACAACATTTTTTTTTATTATGTAATTTCTCACAAAATTTAGGTTTATAAAGTAGTTCTTGACAAATAAAACCTACTCCGAACAATATGCTTGTATTATTTTTAATCATAGCCGTTTAAATCTAATATAGATAAGATTATTCACCCTAATGGCCTTACCAGTTATTACTAATCAATGAATCAAATTAGATGGGATTCCATTATTTTGTGAAAATGCACTCTGGCCCCATGAAACATCACATGTGACCAGATTGAAAAAGGGACCTTACATGTAAGAGAGAGTGTTGAGACATAGCCTTCCTAAGTGTCCTATTAAGAAAAGAAGAAAGTGTTAAACACTTTATAAGGCTATGGGATTACCCTTCCGATAGCTATATATTTTTGGGATGAAACTTACTTGGACTTGTGAAGTAAACTCTCTCTCTTGATAATGGGTGCGATTTAGACCCGTATTTAACATTTTGTTCTCATGCATAAATTTGAATGAAATTTGTAATAGTAATATTCATCTATTCATTGCTTGATTTTTGCTGCCAAAAAAATAACATTGTAGGGGCATAGGGCCGAAAAATGTTGTCAATATGCTGTTATCCTTTAGCATAAATTATTAAGTTTAATTTTGTTTGAACGTGTGTTCATTTGTACATTGTAACCCAGTTATGATAACTTGATACGCGTATGACATGATTCCGGAAAGTTCATCTTTCAAAATTCAATATTATTTGTCAACTTTTATAATATCTTGAAGAAAAGGAATGTGTGTTTATACTATATCGAGCAATAACTAATGTGAAGCAATGTACTAACAGTTGCACTATTTCTCTTTTAAAGTTCAAACTAATAGTGCAAAATCTCAAGCGTAGCATTTATAAAAAAAAATGAAGGAAGTATAAAAGGCCTATTAGCTTCATCTCAGAGTATGTATAATTGTACTAAAGCACAATTAGAGATGTTCATAGTTAAACAATTGTACTGATGACAATCATAAAATAAGAAATGAAGCAACAATCAGTGAACGGGGGAAGTATATTTCTTTATTTAAAGACTTACTAGCCCTTTCAAAAACGTGTATGAACTTAATTTTGCCAAGTGTTTTAGGTATTTGTAAGGTGAAAAGGCCTCAATATGTTGTTACGAGTAGCTAGACCGATTTTTAGTTTTTTTTTTTTTTTTTTATAAAGACAATATTATATAGTATATTGATTCCTTAAAAAGGTTAGCAACATTTTTAGCTCCACATAATAACGTGGGGAAATATAAGAAGTAAAGAAGAAGAAGATCAAAGCTTTTCAAAATCCCACCATGGATTTTGGTGGGGGTTTTAATCAACTTTAGGCACTTTCCTTCTACGCTAGTGGGGGAAGATAGAATATGGTTGACTAGCTAGGTTACTACTAATACAATGTCGTATACAGGCATTAAGGTTATTATTAGGATTTTCTTTTTGGTGTAAAGAAAGTACTGTAATAAACAACAAATGATGTAGCCGGATGTAAACAAGATTTAATTTATAGTGTCACCCAACAAGTTTTAACCAACTGTAAGTTAGTCGATAAGCACAAAAAAAATTATAAGAATTCTAATAATCATGCCTAAGAACAAATGTTAGATACGAGCCTGGGGCAAAAAAAATTACGAAGTATAAGATATACTCTAATATTCATGCCTGAGAACAAAATGTTAAATAGTAGCTACTAACATAATTTGGTATTTCAAAATTTTTCTTAAAATAAATGAAAATTGTTCAAATTCAAATTGAATTGAGAATCATGTAGGGGTGAAATTCATACATATGCAACACAATGATAATGATATACTCTACGTACGAAAATGAAAAAGCAACAATATTCTCAATAGTGAATCTGAATAGACTATAAAGCTCCTTATATTGAAGCCTAAGATATTAGTGGATTCGCAAAGTTGGACTTTGGTGCGTAGTATGCATCAGATTTCATACTATAACAAACACTGTCATAATCAAACCACGCAATAAAAATAAAATACTTTATATATTTGATGAAATACTTATAAAGTTGTAACTTATATAAGTGATCAATAATGAATCATGTAATCTATTGTATAATGAGATGACAGATGTGTCGTACAACTAAGATTATTATTTTGCTCATTACGATTCCATTAGCTAATTAAGGGAGTTGGAGAGGTTAACATGACTAAAGTTTTATCGTGTAGTACTCCGTAAAACAATTTTAACATGGTGAACTAACCTGAATCAGATGCAAGCAATCTTTTTTTATGAGACGGTTTTACAATAAATCAATAACTTTTACGGAGTAATCTAAACGTTAAAGTGTCGTGACCAAGACTAAAATACTTTAACTTACTACTCTGTACAAGTTTCCGGCATGTTTTTTACACAAAGAAGATTAGGAGTGTGATTGAAGTTTTCATCCCCATCCGTGCAGAATCTTAAATGAATCATTGTTGCATTAACATGCAAAAATCATTACCATAGATTAAAATATCAAGATGTAATTAATTGACTTTTGACTGTTATAAAGGAGAAGGCAGTAAGACTTTGAACTAAAAAGAGTCAATAATTGAGTATTATTTTTTCTCATGATAGTGACTAAAAAAAGTAACTCTCTGGTCTCACAAAGTTCTTTTTATGTTCTCCAAATTTTCAATTTTTATTAAAACCTTTGCCAATTGGGTCTCATTTTCCTAAGCTAAAAGCAAGCCTTTTTAAATTAAGGATTACTGTAAAACAGGATTATTTTTCCGTCTCTATAAATGAATTTAAAAAGGCTTTGCTTTTAGCTTAGGTATCTATGTATGTAATTTCATAGAATTATAAAACAAAATGCATAACATAACATTCCGTTCATATCAAAGGTCATCTCTAGGGTTTGGGTAGTATTATGTAACAGGATTTGGAAAAGACAGGAAAATGCCAACATCAAACTCAGAAAACACAAAATTACAAGAAAATATTGTTAAATAATTGATATCTAATATATATATATATAAAGAGGAGTTTTTTCCCGACTTTTTAGAGCGCCAAGTAGGATTTTAATTTTTAGAAAATTATTATAGCGTCGCGCAAGATTAAGTAACTCCTGATCGATTAAGTAACCTTTGACCAACCGAGTAAGCTTGACTAAATAATTCCGGTCATACAGTGTGACCAGTCATATATAGTTTATCAGATAAATATAAATTTAGTAAAATATTATGTTTGAAAAAATACAAACAAACTGTACATCGCACGGGTTTCATCTAGTTTTAATTATTTTGTTTAACATTTTATTTTTGAGAATAGAGGGTAGGGATAGGATTTTTCCTGGTCTTTTCCTGCTTTAGCCTCATCCACACATCTCTTTCAGAGTTTTTAACTTATTCTAAAAGAAATTTCTTAAAATTAATTGAATCTTTTTCTACAATTTTCTCCCCTTTTTTTTTAATTTATTTTCCATATTTTTACATATAATTTTACAATATTAAAAACCCATAAAAAGAAAAAAAAATTAAAAAAAATAAAGAAATTATTCTGAATTCTGCAAATTTTGCAACTGAGTAAGCTCAGACAAGTAATCCATGGGGTTTAAACTGTTAAAGATTGTAACTTTCATCATTATCATCATCACCTCTTCACGGGAAATTCTTAGTTTTAGTTCATTATTTATTTTTTCAAAATTTAATTTAATTATTTTTTGTTTAAAAAAGTGAATGAATTTTGTCTGATTCTCTTTGAATTTTCCTCTAATTTTATTTTTTTCTTTCTATATATATGTCACTGCCACCTGTGGCCCTGTTTTTATTAAAAAAAAATCCCTCCTTTGCTTTGCTACTATCTTTCTCTCTCTACAGTTGGGGTTGTTCTTTCTACTTCTCTCTTTAAAACAATCCCTTCTTCCAAAGGGTACATACCCAAAAAAGATGGGATTTTTACAAATTTTTTTAGTATAGTGGGTGGTGTTTAACTTATTTAAGATTTGATAATCAAACAAACAAAACTTTGCAAAATTAAAAAAATTTCATATTTTGTTTTGTTTTATTTTGCTTGGAGGTTTGTAGAAGAAAGACAATGTTCCAAGGAGCTATGTCCAATTCAACTTTGTCTGAAGAAGCTAATAGTCTTTCTAGCTTTAACCCTTTGTTACTACAAAACACTACTAATATCATCACTTCCCACCAACAACAACAACAACCTCCTCCTCCCAAAAAGGTCAAGAAAAAGAGAAGTCTTCCCGGAAATCCAGGTAAATTTTCAAAAAGTTTCAATCTTTATTATATTCATCCATCAATTGTATCTCGATACTGTAAAAATGAAGAGTCCGAGTAACATATATAGCTCGGTATCTATGTATGTAGTCAAAACAACCTTTATTATATTGATCCATAGCTAAATTACTTTCATTAGTTGATGTGAAGAGTTTCAGTGTAACATATATAACTTGGTTATGTATGTTTATATGTGGTCATAGGTTATTTGGGTATTGTTGAATTGAATGAAGAGTCCGAGTAATATATATAGGTCGGGTATGTATGCAGTCGAAAACCCGACCGATTCGCAAAAAGTATGCCCTAATGGCAGTGGCGGAGCCAGGATTTATAATTCGGGGGGACAAATTTTGGAGGTTAAAGTTTCGGCAAAAATCTCAAGAAAAAAATTGATCACCTAAATTGTTTAATATTTATTTGAAATCACATATGCCAATTATTTCTATATGGCAAAAGAGGAATAAAAAAGTTTTATTGTATATTAAGAAAATTATCCAACAAAAATGAATAAATTTATGTTTGTAAATCCCGTTATGTAATCACATAATTGATATATACGAATTAATTACCTTATCATAAAGTCAAATAATTATCGTTAGAACAAATTGATGGTAGATATGAAGGGTCTGGGTTTGAGTTACATTCGAAAAAATAAACTCAACTTTCTCAAATCAATCATATTATTACATATGTATTTCGTATGTATTAATAAAAGTTAAAACACAGTTACAAACAATTAATTAATAGTAATCTATTTATTAGAAATGTAAAAAAATAGAGTTTAAGCACATAATAAAATTAAAAATCCTAAAACAAGAAATAGGAAATGAAAAATAAAATTAAAAAGACTATTGAAAATTAGAGTAATCAAAAAACAAGTAGGGGAAAAAAAACAAAAAAGCTGAAAAATAGTAGAGTAGGGAATCGAACCTAAGACCAAGGCATAGCCTTACTAAGGACTCAACCACCAAACCATATTCAATATTGTGATATTTACTGTAAGTATATGATATTTATAGCCTTTTACTGTATTTTCTTGATTTTTTTTTTTTAAAAAAAAAAAACTTTTTTTTCGAAAATGGGGGGACAACTGTCCCCCCTTGTTCTAATGTGGCTCCGCCAATGCCTAATGGTTTTGATTTGATTTATGCAGACCCAGATGCTGAGGTGATTGCACTGTCACCAAAAACATTACTAGCAACAAATAGGTTTATTTGTGAGATCTGTAACAAAGGGTTTCAAAGAGATCAGAATCTTCAGCTTCATAGAAGAGGGCATAATTTACCATGGAAGCTTAAACAAAGGAGTAAAACAGAAGTTATAAGAAAGAAAGCTTATGTTTGTCCAGAACCTAGTTGTGTTCATCATCACCCTTCAAGGGCACTTGGAGATCTTACTGGAATTAAGAAACATTTTTGCAGAAAACATGGTGAAAAGAAATATAAGTGTGAAAAATGCTCCAAAATTTATGCTGTTCAATCTGATTGGAAAGCTCACTCTAAAACTTGTGGCACTAGAGAGTATAGATGTGATTGTGGCACCCTTTTCTCCAGGTAAAATCATTATACTTATTTGCGGAATGAAACCTGTTAGATCGTCTTTTACAAGAATTTATTATATTTTCCGATATAATTTGCATTTTTTTATTGATTGGTTTTATGTGGGATTGATTTTGTTTGATTATGTTTTTGAATTAAATGAGCATAATATTGATTAGCAAAGGTGTGTAGTATAATATGTACTGGTTTTTTTTTCTTGGATTCTGATATATGCCTTTTGTTTTCTGGTGAAAATATTGTTACATAAGAATGGTAAGTTTTGCATGAAATAATATATGATGAGAATAATAATAAATAAAATGCAATTGGTAAGAGAATTTTATCTGTTGAAATCTGTACCTTTTTTCCAAGTTCTATGTAGCACACACACAAACACTGTATATTATACAAACAAAGAACAATCAGAAACAGGCTGTCTTTTGTTTTATTTAATGTTCTGTCCAGTGATTCAATTGCTGTCTATTTTTGTCCTCGATTTCTCACTACTGATTAATGCATCAGCATTATATAACATCCCTATAATTTTCCAAAATATGCAAATCATTTTTCACAGTTTACAATCTTTACAGTCTATCAAATTTAGATAAAACACATTTAATGAGCAAAGCAATGCAAGTTATCTAGAGCAATACAGATAAGTATCAAACATATTTTCCGTCTCCAATTAGTCAATACCCATCTTAAAATCATGTTTAGACACGGGTTTAAAATGTATATAAATCGTAGTCCCTAAGTGGCTTGATAAGATATTATCTATATATAAGAGTATAGGTGTTGTAATTGATTATTTATCCTTCTAAAGAAGATCTTTGAATAGAAAAAAGGCAGGCTTTTGGTTTTTCTTTTTGTAATGCTAGATGTTAGTCCCAAAAATAACAATGATAGGTCACTGCTATGCTCGTGTATTTGAGGAAAAAGTAATGCTAAACAAGTGATAAATTACAAAGTAATAATCTTTTTCAAGATTTTCTCTTTTTTGTAGTAGTAGCAGAACACTTCTGAGTAGCTCAGAATTTCTTCATAATAGAGGAAAAACTGATATAACCTGCAAAAAATCTGATTTGGTCTGCCTTTTTCCTTTTTTATTTGGACCCCCTATATGCTGAATTTTGCATGCTAGGTTGCTCTATGTTTGGATTAGGAGTACACTTTGTTTAAGCTCTAATTTCAATGTGTTAAACTTTTTTGTGACTATTATTTGGTACAAGAATCACATGTTTAGTCAAGTACTAATAGAAATATAAGCACATGTTCTTGGTACAAATCATACAGTCAAAATATGTTCATAAATAGGTCAATGGGAATATGGGATCCTAGAAGATTAAAAATGTTTAAGATTCTTAATTCCTTTTTTGTTTTACTAGTATCTACAATGTTCTTGGGTAAGGAAGAGAAACCACATTTTCCCCTTAAACTATTCCTTACCTTCCTCTTCTCCTCTCCCTTTCATTTCCATTTTCTTTTTCATTCTAACTTCTTGCAAAGACAAGGTCTAATATGGAAAGTAACTTACAGAAGTTGGTTTCATCAATGTAAACTATTTTTTACAGAAATATGAATTTCTAATGAAATGATTTCTGTCAAAACTAACAGAGCCTAAGTTGAAAGAATGAATTCAAATATTACTATATTTAGTATTTCATGTAAGATAGATGGTAGTCAAGATGGGAGAAATTATTGTGTGGTTCGGTACCAATAAGGCGGGAGCATTGAATCCATCAAGACTTTACATACAATAATCTTCACTAAAATGGAGGGATAGGATTATAGGAAGAGATGGCTGTAAAACAATGAGAGTATTTAAATATGCTTTTATTTCCTTCTCTTTTTGCTGAATGTGTTGAGTTTTATCTCTATTATTATTTTAGGACTTCTTATTGTTCTTTCATCTTCTTCAACTGTTAATTATCCTTTTTTGAACATACACCAAGCTGCTAATCTCTACAGTCAAACTCAACTGGCATAAAAATCACCAATATATTTTGTGCACAAACAACCTTCATTATAAGAATAGTGAGATTTTTCAAGAAATGAAATGAGTTCTATTATCACCTTTTAATGATAAGTTTCAAATATTTGCATAATTGCATTCACATTGTTTTTACAGTATCACACTATTAGTTCAAATTGCGCTATCATTAAGCTAATAATTTCAAACAAGCTAAGTAGATCACATGCATGTTGTTATACTGAAGCTTTCGTTCACGTTTTATTCTCATATAGTGTTTTTTCTATAAAGTCGGAGTAAAATTTTAGATGTCTTATTTTTCTATTTGATAAAGTTGTTATAGTCACTACATTGTACATACTTGTCTTTATCTAACATTCTAACCATTAGGCATTTGTATGCAACAATATTGTAATGCAGGAAAGATAGCTTCATCACCCATAGAGCATTTTGTGATGCACTAGCTGAAGAAAGTGCAAGACTTTCAACCAACCCTTTTGCTAACCCCATCCTCCCACCACCACAACCACCGCCTTTCTCCACCCAAAACCCTAATTCGTCTCTCTTCCCTTTCATCACCTCGTCGTCTATGTCCCACTCCTCATCCCCATGGGACCCGAACCCTCAAAACCCTAACCCTAACCCTCTCATCCACATCAAAACCGAAAACCCCCACTTCTCAACACCACCACCTTTCTTCCAACCACCCTCAATCTTCACCAACCAATCCAAGAGTCTACTAACCTCCCTTCCCTTCACATCCTCGGACACATCCGCCATGTCATCGGCTCACTTCCTCTCCGCCACGGCCCTCCTCCAGAAGGCCACCACGGTAGGGGCAGTAGGAAACAACACCATGTCAGCAATGATGAACGGTTTTGATGAGCTAGGAGCAATGTCCCGCCACATGGGACCCCCAACCACCGATGAGATGTCATCCGTATTGCCACCACATTCATCCTCGTCGACAAACACGAATTCGACTAATGCAGCAACCACAACCCCTACTGATCACCCAAACAATGCTGATCACTTCACAGCCATGCTTAACACGTGGCGGAAGAACAACGATGGTATGACGAGGGACTTCCTAGGACTAACCGCGGGGGATTACAACACCAATGCTGGTGGAGGAGGAGGATTCAATGGCGACGAGGTGGTGGGGAATATGCTAAAGTTCACAGGTGGTTTACAGTACGGAATGACAGCTCCATATGATCGTGACAACTCATCATCATCAGTATTGTTAAAGCATGATCAGCAGCCTCTTGATATTCACCAACAACATCATCATCATCAGCAAGTTGACGGGTTCGGTTTCGTATCGGGGGCTGAGCCTCCTACAACCGCTGCTGCTGCCGCTGCGCCGGGATCAAGGTGGGGGTGAATTTAGCTAGCTAGGCAATGGCATCATGAAATTTTTTTGTCACTCGTTATGAAATTACTTCTTTACCCCTCACAACATGCAAAGTTAGTACGGGTAAGTGTTATTTTAATTTTTGAATTTAAGTTACTTTTAGAGGTTCCTTTTCAAGGGAGTAATTAGAGGTGAGGAGCTGAGGATCATGCAATTGTACGTTGTAGTAATTTTATTTAAGTTAAATAGCATGCTATATCATCAAAATGTTGTAATATTTTTGAACAAGTGTTATTATATAGCTAGTTTCACAAGAACCGTCGAGATCTTGTGTATCTTGTAATTAAACATCTCCAATCACTTAGGACCAATATGAATTAATAATGTCGATAAAGCCTGAAAATAATATATGAATTCAAAATTATACAAACACGTGATTTCGTAGCATGTGCAAGGTGCCCTTCGATATGTCCTTCACGTGTCGTGTTAGGACATATGCTACGACAACTTGGATACAATAGTAAGTACGGAGTAGTAACAACTAACAAGTGTATATGTGACGCCAATGTCATTTTTATTCTTTTGTATATTTATTTATTTTTCCAATATATAAAAATAACAAACTAAAACATGTATAAGTATTCTCACCCTATTTTAGAAACAATAATTTTCACAGCATTCCATCCATATGCTTTCCTGCACATATTGATGAAGAAAGACATGGGTCAAAACTCAAAAGAGAATATTCTTAACCTCGAATTCCCTTCATAAACTATTGAAGAACATAAAAATGTGTTAAGGATTATTGTGGTTGATTATTTAAGATTGTTTTAAAAATTGATACAATTGATTGGGTGTTATTAATAAAGATCAGATTCACTACTTCATGCATATCATCTAAGAATCATCTAATTTTTATTTATAAGGAAAATATATCGAATACATACATTGTGCGTTATTTTTTAACGTCATCCTATATATATTAAGACTAACCCAACAACATAGTATATAACAACATTTATATATATGTACAATATGTAATCAAAGTTAACATATAAATAGTGCGAAAATCAAATTGTTACGGGTATGCAGAAACAAAGGGAATATAACGAGAAAGATTAGCTAAGTACAAACTACTGCATGCATATAATACACTCATATCAAACCTCAGGTAAAGTAGCATTATACATGCATGGTAAAGGTAGTGGCAGGTCATAATCTAAGCTAAAATATGGTGATGATGCGTGAATGCATATATATAATAATCATACCATATAATATGATAATGATATGGCAGGGCACAAGTAACACAGCTCATGACCCATAAATATATGTAAAAAATCAAAAATGTAATGTAAAGTTTTGTAGATCTAGAAAAAACTAAGGCATGACAAAACTAGTGATTCCTCTTTCATAGTTAGGAAGATGTGGATAAAAGACACTTAAATAAGACAATAATTATTGGTTTGATAATGTATGTGATAGGTATTAGGACCACTGGACCAATAAACTAGGAGTAATCCATAATAATGCCAAAAGGTTCACATGTTTATTAGATTACTTACTACAAGTACTACCACAAGCACATAATAATTAAAGGTCATGATTTTTAAATTTATTGAATATTATTACTATATATTATAATTAACTAGAATTCCAATGCTACTTAGTTAAATAGACTTTTATTTGTTAAAGTAAACACGAACCTTATGTTTAGTAAACACTGAATAGCCGCCTTTGTCGTTTTTATATAATAATTCTATCTTCGTTTATGAATTTAATAATACGATACATTTACAATTTTGATTTTCTTAAAATAATAGCTAGGTCACTTTCTCAATTTAGTAAAACCTCAAATCTTTTCTATATCACCTTTAATATTGCATCTAGGTAACAAGAATGTATGTTACTTATATAGAATAATGAAAAACGTAAAAAAAGGTAAATGGTGACGAATCGTTAGTGAGACCTACAACTAAATGCGGTTTATTATTCAGAAACGGGAGAGCACACAACAAAAATGTTTTACTCATTTGCAATTTTGCATAGTGTGCATAACAAGAGATAATTTCTCCCCCTCGTGATTAAAGAACTCTGAAAATTCTACATTAAAACTCTTTCTATGATAAATACATCTAGGGTTTTCTTTGACTAACTGGTAGAATTTGCTAGATGCAAACATCAGCATTCTAATAAAGATAATGGTCAATAAATAATATAGAAGTCAAGGAGGAAATCAAATTGGTGGCTTTCTAGTCTAGCCTTTCTAGCCAATTAATCAGGAAGATCAGAGAATTTTCTAATAGCAAGAAGAAAAAAGGTGACAAGGAAAATTTTGCTGCTTTTAAGCAGTCAAGGAAGGATATATTTCATTGTCTTGGGAAACAACTACTATGAAAATAAATTGTTCTTTTTTTGAATTTTGACCTCTTGAATTCATTAAACAAATTAATACCCAACCCCTCAAAAAATAAAAAATCTAATTAACCAAATTATTTTCCAGAAAACCTGGGTTGAGTTAGTAGTTCTTTACTACTGCCTTCCACACCGCAGGCGCGGGTTCGAATCTCTTCCTCTACCATATGTACACTTGAATTAACCAAAACTTAGAACACTAGTTGCTTTCACAATTTTTTTTTTTGGTGAAAGTCAATGTTCAATATGAAAAGAGTAATAGTAGTTTATTCATAAGGTCCCTCCTATAAATGGATTTACTACATACTTTTATCCTTAGAAGTTATTTGTACAAATTCAGTTATGTATAAGCCACCAGCCGCACTCTACAGTTAAAAAAGATTTTAACAAGCAATATTTTTCCAATAAATATCAAAAGAAAGTACACATACTTGATTATAAGAGATAAAATTAAAAGTTACATAAACTGAGACCATACAAATAAGAAATTTGTACATAATACTATAGTAGCATGGTATAATAGTGTAACAATGTAATCTAAACTAGTCATATAAAAATTCTAAATCAATAGAAGTACTGAATCCTGTAAATGTTCATACTTAGATGCATATTAAAACAACAAATTTAATAATTAGAGATATAAACAAAACTCCTCCAATGTCAAAAAGAACCAAAATGAAATTTTCCTATGGCATCCAAATCATAAAATTCTAATATTACAAAGGATTGACCAACTTTATGTAGAATGTTGGAAAGAGTGGAAAAAAATTAGTTCAATCTTCTAATTTATACGACGTTTCAACCAATTACAAGCGTGTATATCATACTAAGTGGTCCGGGACATAGTGAGTAGTGAATAGCTAGTAAGTGACCGGGAGATGAAGTAAGAACTACTCCTCCTAAAATAAACATGAAAGCCCTAAAAATAAAAATGTCAAAGGTTGTTGAAAAGATGCTAAAGGAACTTTAGCTTTGGGAGTCTTGAATAATCCTTAAAAATGTAGTTACCCTTAAACATTAATGTGACTCTATTTTCTCAAATTCTGTGTTAAAATCCAACAACAAACAACAAAGCCTTTGCTATTATAGATGACCCCCTTGACCCCTTCCATGATTACTGGTAAAAAAATTCAGGTGACATGGTCCATCAATCTTCATTATAAGTTCTTATCAATCAAATCATAGCCATTCATTCAATAATATCACGGGTCTTTTCGATTTTTGAGAGCAGAAAAGCTGAATCAACTATTCACAATCATAGGCTAAATAGAATATCATAAACTCTATGAATAATTGGTTGATTTACACTACTGTAGTACTAATACTAGCTACTAAAGGTTGGGGGTAGTCTAATGTAGATGAGAGTCATGACTCATGAGACTATCTACATTTAAACAAGTTAAATCCGGTCAAAACTCGACTCAATTCGAGTTTTTAACTAGACATGTCAAGCTTATCAAAGTGGCCTAAAGATGTCTTACTAATTTACAACTCCTTGTCTTTGGATAGTTAGTTATCATATTTCATTTATCCCTCATAACTCATAACTAAAGATATGGACTAACTAACTTAACTAATACAAAATACTATAGAACATTAAATAACTTAAGTAAAAGTAGACCTAAGTTAAACTCAAGACCAACTCGACTCATTATATCTGAGCTAGTAAGCCACCCCCATTCAACCCAAGGTTAATAAGGCTAATCTGTCCATGAATTTGTCCATGAGTTCGCTAATTTGTACTCGTGACTCAAATAGGGCTAATATACATATCTTTGATAATGAATTAATTATTTGAGGGATATTAAAGACGAGGCATTCTTAACACCCCATAAAAATAAAAATAAACATAAGAAAGTTATTCAGATGAAAAAAAAAAGGGTAAGAATCCACTGTCTGATATAGACGTATAGACTATTAGTGGACCTAGTGACATACGGACTTAAGAGAGCTTGTCCAACCGGCTTAACAAACTAAGTCCACTACTATCTGGAAGTGTGAACATTAATTGAAAGAGTACTAATTTTAAGTCTCCCCACATTAAGTCCCAGAGTCCTCGTACCATTTTCATGTGATCTGGTGTTTCCCACTCAGATAAGTTATCTTCAACACTGTAACCACACCGGTGACACCAGCAACCGACATCAAATTCAAAGCTAACCCATTCACACAGGTACTTCAGAGATCACATACACTGTTCTATCACGTCGGAAACACGGCACAACACAGTTATTGTAGGACACATTTACAGGCTCAAGGAGTACTAGGAACAAGGACATGCATACATGTGACAGCAAAGAAGACAGTAACAAAACTGTGGGATAAGCCTTAGACTTCTGCTGTTTGTAAAGGTTTCTAACTTAAAAGCATACAGTACCAAAGTGTGATGTGGTGTAATCCAAAGTGTGAGGTAGTGTGATCCAAAGTGTGATGTATTGTGATCTTTTAGAAAGTATTTAGGTCACTTGCAGCCTTGCTGTGTTAAGGAAAAGAACACTGCTTAAAAAGAGATTTTAAACCCCATTCCATCTCCATGTGTGCGTTTTCCCAAATTATGCACACACTTAAAGAGTTGTTACTTATTGCATTGATATTTAAGAGAATGCACAAATAATAATGCATTGATATAAAATCAATTAGTAAATGCATTCATTCATATTTTAAGCCACCGATGATTGGAATAGAAAAAGAATTAGTTAAGTGGTCATATAATATCGAAAAGAGGGAAAATTCCTTTTTTTTTTCTCTCCTACTACACGGGCGGATAATATTCAAGAGAGTGGGTTGTATTCCATCTCAATTCCCCTTCCTTTAACTCCGTAACAACTTTCTACTTCCACAATATGTCATCTTCATCAGGGAATCTCATCTCTTAAGGAACATGTCCTTTTTTCTTCCTTTTCTATAATTTCAGTCCTTTTGCTTTCATCTCTGTCTATTCCTATACTACGCTCATCT